TATATGGTTGCTTTTTTCTAATTTACTGTCAGTAGGAAAATCTGAATACTATAAAGCTCCATGTGCTTCCAGTAATTTTTCCTACAGATTTCATTGAACAGGGCGGATCTTAAAGCTAATAGCCTTCAAGGAGTAGTCATAGCCCTTCCATGTGAACCACTCCACTCCAACAGCAAAGATAGTGTCATCAGCCCCCCAGCGATAAACCCCGTTAGGGTTGTTCTTATGACAAGTTCCGTACCAGTAAGCCCCCAAGTAGAGCTTGGCACAATTTCCAGTAAAAGTGTCCTGATCTTTGTCAAAGGTACTAAACTTCTGTCCATTGTGAAAACTTAGAGAGTTTCCTGCAAGATAAAAAAAAAAGAAAAAAAAAAGAAAGAAATATAACATGAGCCTTGAAATAAATGAGAAAACATTCAGGTTAAAAAGTCTTTGCATTTAACCTTTTTTAGTTTTTATCTCAAAATTAAAATAAATGTGAACAACTGACTTTAGAAGTAAGCAAATTATGAGGAGTGATTAAAGATCAGTAAAAATGCAGCTGTTCTATAACTCGCCTCAGTGGTATTATGGAGAACATTAGTGAGCAAGCAACATGTTCACAGAAAGCACTGGGAAGCAGTTCAAAGTCTATAAAATTCAACGTCCTGCATGGAAATATCCCTAAACATACAGCAAGAGCTGCACATGGTGTCCAAGTGGGCTGTTCAACTAAATTGCTCAGGCGCCAATAGTTATCGACAGCTCGAGGGCCAGATATCAGTTAATTACAGTCACTATGTACAAAAAATGGCAGTATTAGACTGACTTGTTATCTCTAACAAAAAATGTTTAAGCCTAGTGATAGTCATAGTAACTAGACTCATTAAATTTCAAGAATCAATTCAACCTAACTCACATCTGGCCACTAGAGGGTTGTTAAATAACAGATCAAACTTTGGTAGAAAGGTGCTGGGTGGTGCTCCCTCAGTCAGCTGCATGCGGTAATAAACCTGAGTGCTCTGTATGCATTAAGAATCTTGCTCTCCAGGTTAACTAAACTTGAGCTATTTTGCAGAGAAGGATTTAAGGCATTCAGTCAGTGGATGTGCAAATTTTGTAGACAGTTCTCAAAATATAGTTCATTAAAGATGAACCAAAGCTCTACAAAATGAAAGATCAAGGGGGCTTAATACAAATACAACGTATTTGTGAAAGAAATCTCAGTTGAATGTAACAATCATAGTAAATCTAAACCAATATCTTGTGTTGATTAAAGAAGAAAGCAATAACATATCTTCCTGCATCGTAAAGAGCTGGTACCCACCTGCCCCACCATCACTGAATCCCGATACTTGCAGAGTATATCCCGCAGATTCTGACCCAACAGAGAAAGAGGAGTAACGAGCATGAACTTGATTTCCTTCAAAGTCCTCCATGTCAACCAGCAGCTCATACCTTTTTCTGAGACTGAGCTGGTAGAGATTTTCAAGACCTAAAAAAAGAAACATGGAGAAACTGATCTCTCAGGCTGTTCATTTGGTTTGCTGGTTCTTTTTTTTTTTTTATCTCCATAACTATTAGTTCTAGGTCTCACCAAGCCAGTACTCTCCAGCAGCATTTCCAAAACCTGTCTTGTATTGATCCCAGGGCCTGTAGAAGTTCACTGAACCATCCATCCTCCTCTGGAACACCTGCAGGGAGGTAAAATAAGTAACTCGCAGAACACCGCTGATATGTTACACTAAGAACAATATAGAAAGTATTGTTGCATTTAGATTTGATTAGAATTTGGAACTATTTTAGATCTTCTGGTTCTTTCTCTAATTTCAGTTCCAACAATCTGATCCAGAGTTTGTTTTGGGAACTGTTGAACTGAGAATGAGTGTTGATAGCAAAGCACAAACCAGCTTGTTAGGAATCCAGTTTCTGTGGGTTGTTTGTGTGTTTTTCTCTCCCTCCACCACCAGGTGCTGCCCTGTTCTCGTTGGCCTTCCTGCACACCTGCTACTCGTTGGTTCATCAATGAGGAGTATTTGAGTGGCGGACTGTCACTACCTCGATGCCAGCCAATCTGAGTTTAGCTGAGTCTAATCTGAGCCTTTGATTCTCTGAGTCTAACTTCGTTTTTTGTCTTTGCCTTTTCGGCAGGAAGCCTTCCTGTGTAACTGGATGCCTGGCCTTCTCCCCCTGGAAGGATTAACTGAGTTCACACTGAGCAGGGGAAAACTTCCACACGTGCCGTTCAAGTCCCTTTCGGAAATCCAAGTGACAGTCTGCTCCATTGCTCCTCAGGGTCCAACCTATGTCTAAATGTCCGCTTTCCAATGAGTTTCCACTTCTCTGGATAAACCCACACCAACTGGATCAAGGAAAGACAAGAACCCCCTCAAACGTGAGTCCCGCTTCCACTGTGCTAAAGACTTAATCAGTTTTTCCTGCGGCCCATGAACTGATCACTGTGATCACCTCTCCAGATTTTCCAGTTCCGGTTCACCAGTTCACTGAGTTCCTACTGTAGTTCAACTCCTGTACAGTCTCCTCAATAAACCTGTTAAACTTTTCCCCTGGTTCTCTGAGTGGTTCTCCTCATGTGGGTCAGATCTCTTAAATCTATCATGACACAGCGGAGCTGGAAGCATCGATAAAGATCAATCAGTCAGAGGATGGGATGAATCTAAAAGGTTTAGATACTCACTGTCCAACGTCCTCCCAAACGATCCATGTCACAGAACACCTGCAGAGACACAA